CTCAAAGTTTGAGGACGAAGGTCTTTAACCAGTACGTGTAGCCAGTGATAACTTATGAAATCGAAACATGTTTCTACACGATTGCCCGTATGCAAGAGATTTAAATTACTTAGCAAGTTATGGAGAGGGCTATGCTCGGAGTCTCTTTGCGTGACAGAATCCGAAACAAGGATATCCGCAAAAGAACTAAAGTAACCGACGTTGCCTGAAGAATAAGCAAGCTGAAGTAGCTTTGAGCTGGTCACATAGCTCGAAGAACCGACGAAGAAAAATGGTTCTTGAGTGGCGACCCTGTACGGCCAAACGCAGTGTAGGACGATTTTACTGTAGATGGAGTAACAACCTCAAATCCATTGCAGGCAGTCAGTGGATGCAGGTGACTTAAGTCCGTTCCTTATGGCAGTCTATAGGGGAGGTCTATGTTCAGCAGTGGACGTATAATGGCTGAAATGATGATGATGATGATGATCAATGAAGATAAGCTTCATTACGAATCGTTATGGACTGTTTATCTGTATTTTTTTAATAATTTATAATATTTTTTTTACAATTAAACCTTATGATAATTTCTCTCATACTTAGGTAACAAATACGTGGGACACTCAGAAAGTTTTGCGACACTAAAAAAAATGTTTTATGGGTAAATATATTTTTAACACATCTTTTCAAAGTACTCTCCACCAGTTTCATGCATCTGAACCAGTTTTCGAAATACTTTTTCGAAAACTGGTTCAGACGCTAGAACGCTGCATCCGGCGACAAAAATTTTATACCTTTGAGATTTTTCACTGCTAGCACGTTTTTTTTCGTAACAGCCGTCAAAGGGCAGACCAGAGGGAGACTTTGTACAAAAGTCGATTGCTTGGGTACCTCTGTCCCATTCGTGTTTCAACCGTGAAGCAGTTGTGTTTGCATGGCTGTGTTTCGGTTTGAAGGGTGGGATATGGCGTGAATTTACTGGGTACAGAGGAATAACACCTGAGTCCTCAGGAATGGCAACGCATGGGGGTATCATGGGCGAAACAGTATACTCTGTTATGTCCATGGTACTGCTCGTGTCTATGGGCGGCGGTTACCACTTTCCATCAGGTGGGCCGTCAGCTTGTTTGCCATTCTAAGTTCTATAAAAAAAAAAAAAAAAAAAAAAAAAAAAAAAAAAAAAAAAAAAAAAGGGCGACCACTTCTTTCTTCATCCCTCAAAGTTAGTCAACTGCGCTTAAATTCATTATATTAACGATACACGGTTGCCTTAGAAGGGCCTTCATCCATGAATGCTATTTCAAGTTTATCGTACGATTCGTCCAGTTTCAGGCGACACTTAAAATCGTAAAAAAACCATAACGCGAAAATGTTCTCGACGCAAATCCATTTTTCAATGAGACATGGCATGACAATTTTAATTAGTTCGCAAAAAATGTGAAAGGAAGTTTTGAATTTAGAACGTACCTATTTTTACTTATAAGTAATCATATTTTTAAATAAATTATAACTGTCCAGTCTCACATACATAAAAACTTTTTCACAATACTTTCTGATTGACCTGGTATTATGGTAACCTTATTACGCGGTATTGATAATAAAGTTGATCTGTTTTTAGCGAACATAAGTATATACAAGTATATACAGCTAGTAATGCGTCATGTTTGACGCTTATATAGAAACTGACTGACCTTTTCACATTATGTATGTCAGCAATTTCTCAGAATAATAGTAATATTTTTTTTTTTTATTTCCATCTCCCTTCGTAAGAAGAGAGCATGGTAAACTAATCCCCGACAGAAGTACAGTTGGCTAGGAGCCAGGGCGCCAAGAAGAGAAACAAACGTATTATGCGGGTAGTATTTAAGAGCACCGTTTTCTGTATCTTTCCCAAGAGTGAGCTGCCTCGGAATTCTAACCGTTTGAGGTATTGTTTCAGATTGCTTGTGTCCTAAGTCAAGATATTTCCACTTCTTCCCGGTTTCAGCGGGATTGAGCCGATTCCCGGTTTAAGCGTTTCTACGACATCAACCAAAAACATCTTCGAGTGTATCTCATTCACGAGACCGTACTTGAGACTCAAGTACGGTCTCGTGAATAAGAGAGCTCTTAAGTTGAAAGCTAACTCTTGATGGAGTGAAATGTACAGGCTCATAATTGACGACTTCGGGTGATGCATTCTGTGGAGGGTCATAGTAGTACGGAATATTCAATCCAAGGCTTCTAGATTGGTTTGAGACTATCTGAGTACGCCAAAGTGTAAAGGAGTACGGATATGACCCAGCCGTTACAAGCTCGGATTTTATTCGCACCCGACAAGGAACTTTTGAGTATTTTTGAAAGGCGCACAAAAAATCCTTCGTAGACTGTTTAAAATCTGTCTCTCACACACCTATACTTTGTAACATGCCCGGATATCGATATGTTTCTACCTCGGAGAGGCTTTTGATATTGGAGGGATCTGTAACGATCCCTTCAGATTGAGTGATCCGCCCCCTCTGCACATGGAGGACACTTGCTTATTCCGAGCTCAATTTTAATAGAACTGCTATAATTGTTAACGATATTTAGCAGTTTTCTCAGACGTTCGATGCTCTGAGCTAGAAGTTTCAAGTCATTCATGTACAAAAGATGAGACACTCATGTACATACCTCCTTTCCGATAATGACATTCAGTTCCCAAATTCTCCCATAGAGTATTAAAAGCATTTATTAACGAGCAAAACCAAAGTGGATTCAAATAATCGCCCTGAAATATTTCTCTCTTAATCTCAATCCAGTCAGCAGCATCCGTTAATCGCTTGCTCTGGATGGTAAGGATCGTCGTCCTTCACGTATGCCTAAAAGAATACTCGAACCGTATTATCGTTTTATATAGTTCGAGTATCTTCTGGAGTTATAACTGAGGCCTTTTAGATAGAATCGAACGCTTTTTTACAATTTATGCAGTTGGCGCAGAAATTTCCAATTCCGCTTAACCACGTGAGCAGCAATAGCATCAATGTGGAACAGCTCCTTCGATTCGCGACTGCATCTTCTACAACCATTCTAAGCGCTAAAATGATCTTATTTTCGTACATGACAAAAGATTTAAGCGTTCAGGACAGATGTTAACGATTTATAATTTATCGTAAGTCCAAACCGTCTTTAAAGAGTTTTTTAGTACCTAAAGGGATCAATTAACTACTTATGAGATGGCAGAAGTGTATAGATAACAACTGTGTATACTTTGATTAATTAAATATATTTTATAAAAAATAATTGACTTTATATTCCTCCCATACAAAATGCCAATTTCATATGTAAGAACCTAATATATCTGCTCGGTAGCGCCATCTGTCACTCTTTTGGCTCAATAGAAAAACAGCATTTAGGCATTATATATGACTATTTAGATACTTAACTGAGTGGTTACTATTTTAGTTACATAAAAGTTTATAATAGTTTATGTTTCTGATCTAACTGTTATTGATACGCCAATTTTTTTTTTCATTCCATATTTAAATATTAATTTTTTATAGTATCAAAATTATTAATTGACGTAATAGCATTTTATATATTAATCGATATTTAAGTTCAAGTTAAATTGTTTTAATGTTAAAATCTTCTAAACTTAGGTTCAAATTCTATCTAAACCGCAAATTATTAATAAATTTATATATTTAAATAAATGTGTATGATCAAGAATCCTATTAATAAGTATTTTGTAGTCATAACAATTGCATGGGCGATGGTCCTGGTCAGTGTTTCCCAACCTTTTTTGTGCCATGCCCCCACTTGAAAATTTCTAAAATGTTTATGCCCCCATACATAATTTTTCCCGACAAAGTTTACTTTTTGACTCTAATCGCCCAGTTGATATTTTGGTAATGTCAAACGAAATTATACCTAATAAATATTTATAGTATTTTTTTATTTCCGGTTTTTGGTTATTTTGGCACCGATATCTACTCGCAACATTTCAATTAAATGGTTCGGAGCAAAAGAGTTAAAATCGCTTCGAGTCAATTTTTTAATTGTCTCCCCTCCCCTTAACTAACAAATTGTAAAAAAATATTATATAATATATAATTTAAAATAAACGGGGCGTGGGCCCACCACGCCCCACGTTGGGAAACATCGGTCCTGATGTACATTAAGTTGTAGGTAGATGAGTGTCATTAAATACTATTTAATAGTTTAATCCCTAGATTGAAGGATTGTATCATTTTGACATCTGTCATATGACATGTACGTCAACATCCAATCTAAAAACAAGGCAATCGATCTTTATACAAAACCAAGTAGAAATTAATTTCCAAATCATGTTTAACAAATTCTCCTGATTTTAGGAATTTTTTATTACAATTACTTGCAACACTAAAAAATCGGTCATTTCTTTTTCTATTAAACATGTTAGTTTTGTCAGATATGTCAAATATAGTTTGTTTTAATATAATTTGTTTTATTTGTTATAATTATTACTTTAATCTTCTATATTAATAAGTCTGCCTTAGCAACCAAGTTTTGTTGAAATGACCATAAATACTTTAAAATTGAAATAAGTAAGAGATCCAAATTATTAATAGATTTTTTTATTTAAAATAAGCAAAATATTATATGGTCGAGTCTGTTCATAGACTTAGTATAACATTTATTCACGTTTATCATGCTTAGGTTGTTATTAGAATTACAATTTTATTTATGATATTTATTTATTAATTGCTATTATTATTTACCAATTACGTACTTTCTATCTTGAATATTCTTTGCAAAATTTTGCGGAATCTAGTTTTTAATAATTTTTTATATCTCTTATGCATGTATATATTGACATTAGAGTAATACTTTATAATAGCAGTATTTATTTAAATAGAATTTATTTGCTTTATAAAAATGTGGCGCCATCTACACTTTGCTTTGCGGAAGATTATTATAAGAATGGACTGCGTTTCATTTATTCGTATAGAAATTACAATATCTACAGTATAGAACAATAAACATAATATAATAATTTGTACATAAATATAGTGTCTCACACTTTAATGTAATTTATATTATCCAAAAATAACATTTTTACTTAAGATCAATGCAAAATAAATAATTTTTTTCGACAGGCAGCCCTGCTCTTAAAAAAAATAAAAAAGAAGAGTGAACTGCGAGCTTGCTTGACTGCGTGTCACGTTTGTACTAAATCAAAAAAATGAAATGCTTTTGGTTTTATTTCAACAAATTCTCAAGTGAATTGTAATTGTAAAAAAGTGTTATGAGTGCATAAAAGGGTATTAACCAAGCTAGTTTTACGTGAACTATATTTGCGCCTATTTTTAAAAACAATATTTTCATGTACCTGCCTTACATACCTATTGTGCGACCGTGAAGGTTGAGAATGTTACGTCATTTTGGTTTTAGTGAGTGATATGAACTTATTTATTTTGATTTCATTAGGGGAAGTGTTATTAACAAGAAAAGCCTCTGATGTTGTGATTAGTTCGAGTAAGTGTTAAGTGTTATGAATGACTAAAAGCACCGATATACCGGCTGCGACAAGATGCCGCCATGTTATTTAGTTTTCCTGTCAACCACTGATCGCGGTTACCCCTGATACACTTTGAGTTTTTATCTCAAAAGAAAACTGTAAGTGAACTTTTATCTTCATACGTATTTCACGTTTTCCGTTATTTCTTCTAGGCATTTACAAGCGTTTGTTGTTATTGGTAATGTCTAATCAAAATTTATTGTTTACCGTCGTTTATTGACTGTCAATGTAATGACGTCATTGCGTAGAAAAAAAATATTGTATTCGCAAAATAACGTGTGTATTATGATCGTATTTAAAAATTTCATCGAAATTTTTGTATCTTTTCTAGGTAATGAAATTATGCACCTTATTCAAGGTTTCAACTTAGCCTTGATCACATCGCTTGTTAGGTTATTTTTTGTGCCTTTAACTATTACCACCTAAAACAATACTTAGGTAACTAAGGGTAGTTGTTAAATTTCAATTATATTCTAACCAATTTAACGTATGAAATTATTTTTTTATATATGCCATTAGTTTGTGTCATTGTATATACTGTTATTATCATATTAACTAAACCTTTATCTAAAAGCATCAAAGTTTACCTATTTGTTTTTGAAATTATTGTTAAAAACAAGTTAACAATAAAAAACTTTATTGTTATTGTGCCAAACTTGATTTGTAGGCTAGCATTATGTGATATTTCACAAATTCAGCAATTTCATTATATAAAGAAAGATGATATGCTTTTTTCATCACACATTTTACATTTGGATGAAATTTGGTTCTCTCTCTCTCTCTTTCACACACATATATATATATATATATATATATATATATATATATATATATATATATATATATATATATATATATATATATATATATATATATACAGAGAGTTGGTTTAAGAAACATTTACAAAATATTTTATGGAGGAGCCAAGCCGAGGGGTTGAAAGGTAGTAAATATGAAATATATATAGTTTTCCTTAGATAATGCAAGTTGTCTTTTAGAAAAAAAAAATTTCAATTTGAGTAGAAATTTATTTCATTGTAAAAAGCATATCAGCTCTTTTTATCACTTAAGCTAGCAATTCCCAATACAATAAATAATGGGCTTGCTATATTATTTTACCTACTTTCTCTCCTTATCCCAATATAACAATTATTTGACTTTTATTGTCATTATTTAAAGTAGGTTCTTAAATCTAAATAAACTATATGATATTAAATAATAAATATTCCTGCCTTTCAGGCAAGATTTGCTCTAAATCTAAAGGCTAAATAAGAAAAACTAGACTAGGTATCATCAAATTGAATTGAGGTGCATGAAAATTAGGTGGTGTTTTTTAATTGGTGATAAAGAAATGGTAACCAATAGTGCAGACAGGGCACCAGTGAGGGGTGATAGGTGAGGATGAAAGCAGGTTATTTGGCCCATTACGTCAAAAGCGGGAACCACATGGAGGTTGACCTGACAGGGTGTATTGCTGGTAATAGAGCTGTTAGAATTGGGTGGTGCTTTTTTAATGGATTATAATGGAATGGTAATCCCACCTGCGCTAATGGCATAGTCTGGCGGGGCACCAGTGAGATATGGTAGGTGAGAATAAAAGCAGATCAGTTAGTCCATAGGTTAGAATTCAGCACAATGGTTTCGGGGGGGAGGGCACGTAGAGATTGACCTGATAGAGTACATTGGTAGTAATGGGAAATAGAGGGGGGAAAGTGATTGTTGGCAATGGAGTTTGACAGCCCTATCAGGTAGATAGACTGGTCAGGTAGAATAGACTGGTAATGTCAAATCAGGTAAATTTCCACATGATTCACCCTGGAAACTATCGTGAACAATTCTAGTTGAATTCATCACAATGGGCTAACTGACCTGCTGAAGATGATCATCAGTCATTTATCACTGGTGCCCTGATAGTGTATACTGATAGTGCAGAAGGGGTTACCATACCATTATGACTCTTAAAAAAAAATGGGAAATGGTAGTTTGCATTACTAACAATCCTCACCTCACCAATTAGGTGGTGCTAGGTGCTGTCCCTTATCTATGTAGGTATAGTGTATAGGTTAAAACTGTCTTGAATGTGGATGATTTTGTAAAACACCTCATAGTGTTTCATTACAATTACTGTTAGATACCAATAATTAACTTTTTAGCTTTGTCAATGATTTATTTATCTAACTGTATAATTAAATGTGATGTTTTCAACATGAATTGATGTTTACAATTTTTAATAATAATTTTTCTTTATAGAATTGCTCATATTTAAGTAAAAGGGATGAATCGGGCATCATATTATTTTAAATGTAATTTGAAAAGTGTTCAGTTTTGTTGTGTACATATACACACTTATATTACAGCCATATATTCTTTATGACCATTTCCTCAATAAATGGCTTTATTAAAAAAAAAAAAAAAACTATGTATTGACATAGCTATTGAGCTACTTTTTGTCCATCCTCTAACAACAATACAAACTGCACATAGACATTTTTTTAATTTTTTTTTTTATTTCAATTTAATATAGAAATAAATTTCCCCATTTTTTTTATTTGTAACTAGTCTCTCATGCCACTTCATATTGATTGGGATAAAAAATAGCCTATATGCTATTCTCTATATATTGGAATGGGCACAAATTAATTTTTACATCAATAATATTAGTACGGATGCCAATAAAATTATTTATTTGAACAAATGTACACAACAAAGGCATTAATATTTAGTTAATGGGAATATACTCAGCATGGTACTAATAACAGGTGGTAAATATTGATTAGATATATCTTTGAATTCTACTTTTTTCTCATTGTTACTTTAGTTAGGTGATATAAATAAAATTTTAAAACTTAAGTAACCCTTGAAATGCCTGGACATATTTTCATAAATTGTAGCTAAGAATCATACTGATCATGTCTGCTTTGAAACAAAAAAAAAAATTGTGTCATAATCAGTATATTAATTTAGGAGATATGATTTCACAGACAGACACACATAGACACATCAAACTTATAACTCCTTTTTGTAATAGAGGTTAAAAATGGCCAACCATATAAATTTATTTATGTTTCATTACTTTTGTAGTTTATTTTTTTTAACCTGAAAATACAAAAATGCAGTATTAACTATTTTATGGTGTCAAATATTTATTATCATCATCATCATTATCATAATTATCATAATTATCATCATCATGTCAGTGGTAATATTTCTGCACACATTGCTTTTCTAGCATTGATAAAAAATAAAAAGATCCTTTATTTCTGAATTACAGTTTCTCTTTAAATTATACATAATTTTTCAATTATTGTTATTTCAGCCCTTAACAGTCCACTGCTGAACATAAGCTTTCCCTATAAGGGGAGTTTCGCCAGTAGTTGCCACGCTTGGCAGGCGGGATGGCAACCACAGTTAGGCTTTTAGATATGTTTTTAGAGAGATACTGCTGCCCATCCCTCACCTTCCCTGAATTCTCTTACAACACCCATGGGAAAGGAACAACCTATTTTATGCCAGGGTACACACAGCGAATATAATTAATAATAGTTATTAATATCTGCAACATTTTTCAGATAGTTCTTGAACATATTCTTCTGAATATTTCATTATTGGTTATTATGTCCTGTAGTTTGTTTCCATCCAGCTTTTGGGCAAATCATATTGCTAACTTCTTGTTGGTTTTCCTTTGTTTTTTTTTTTTCTATCATATCAATGTTGTATAAAGTATATGCATACTACTATTATATTTACTGTCACTTAAGACTGCACATGTGTTTAGTGACATAGATATTTGATAGATGGTTTTTTTTTTTTTAAGAAAAGGGCCATTGCTTTTGTCTCATATTAGGATATCTTTCTCTTACATTTTCTAATCTTGCATGACTGTACTAGCTTTTTAATTTCAGAGCATTAAAATAAAGCAGTTTTATATTTCATTACCTAGAAACTAAAGTTTTCAAAAAGTTCCTAACTAGGTTGTTTAATAAAAGGAAGTATATCTGTATTTTTTTTAATGGGTGATAATGGAATGGTAACCTCATCCGCGCTAACGGTATACACCGGCGGGGCACCAGTAAAGGATGATAGATGAGGATGAAGCAGGTCAGTTAGCCCATCGTGACGAATTCAATAAGAATTGTTCACAATGGTTTCGAGGGAGAACCACATGGAGGTTGACCTAATAAGGCAAATTGCTAACAATGGGGCTATCAAACTCCATTGCTAACAATCCCTTTCCCCCCAGTATATCTGTATTATCTTAATCATACAGATACATGTTACACATAGATTACCTACATATTTTCCATATCATTATTTCTAAACCAGGAAATCCTGGCAGTAAAACATCTTATAAGCTATATATTATGAGGTAGTTATTAAGTTATAATACACAAAATAATAAACCAGTCAGGTGCAATTTTAGAAAATACACCAAGGGCTGCATACTAGTTAGGTACTGGATAATTAAAAATGTATAACTGCAGATACAGATAATTAGTATCTAGACCTGTGGATATGGATCTCTATTTTTATAAAAATAAATAGTAATCTTTAATAGATAATAATGGAATGATAAGCTTCTCTATGATATCAATATATGCTAGTGGGGCACTAGTAAGGGTTGGTAAGGGAGGATGAAAGTAGGTTTGGTCCATTGTGTGTGTGTATTTTATAAAATCTTTTATTACATTAAATCTGGAAATAGAATCATATAAATTTAAAACAGTCTAATTTTCATAAAATATGTAGTTCACTCAAATATTATCATGTACATAGTTCACTTAAAAGAACCAGATTGTGCTGAAATAAATAAAAACACACTATCAGATGGTTCACAGTAAAAGAACTGGACTCGTCTTTCGTTTTCTTCTTTCCTTTCCTTTTTTCTTTTCCCTTTATTCTTTTTCTTCTTTTTTTTTAGAAACTAAAGTTAGGTACTAGGAATATTTAGTAGTTATATTACTTATACGATTTTTCCTGATAATTAACAATCCTTTCTGAATTGTTGGGACAATTATATTATAGGAAATCATCATCCCACCTTCTGTGTAGACTGTGCATTTTTATTTAGTAAATATATATTTAATTTTATATACCTACA